CAAAATCACACCATTGTTAGGTCATAGTGAATAATAAATAAATAATATAACAAATAACACATGCATCAATATGCATCATTACATTTTATAGTTTAGTTAATGATTTAAAAGCTGTAAACGTTCTTTTCTGATATTTGTCTCTTCACACAATACTCGTGCCAAATATGGTACGGTCGAATTTTTATATTTTGTAGTACGAGCATAAATGCTTACGAAATTTCTTCTGGTCTTACCCAAAGAGATACAAGGAAACAATTGTGAATAAAGAGGATGTTCACTATCAGATAAGATAACTTTAGCTGAGTGTTTACAAGAATTCATATGCCTACTGACAACAGTGTCATTTAGTTCAATCAAAGGGATAGCACTGACCCTACTTACAGCCCTCAATGTTCTTCGTAGTATTATATGGTCTTTCTTGAGTAGCTCAGGGAAGAATAATGGAGAACATTAAAGAATGATGGGCAAAACACATGAATTAATAAATTGTATGGGTTATACCTGAGTGTCTCAACTTCTTTATGTGATAAGTCAGACGGAAAACTTTCTTAGAAACTATGAGAATATGAGACGACCAGCAAAGGTTTGAAGAGAAACTAATGCCAAGATAAGAAACACTTGACTTACTCTCTATCATGGTACAATCAATATTACAACAATCATGAGACTGGATCAATCCATGCATGTCTTTTTCACTTCTCAAGCTGAAATCAACAGTGTTACATTTAGTTGGATTTAGTTTAAGATCATTTGAGCCAGACCAATCCTTAACTTCAGCTAAGAAGCCATTCATATGGGAACAATCCAATGTGGAAACTACAGGGACAGAAACGGTCAGATCATCAGCATACTTAATGAAGTTAACTTTGGGTGAGTTCGGAAGGTCATGCAAAAAGAAAGAGAAAAGAAATGAAGAAAGTACTGCACCTTGAGGCACACCACTTTCAGTTAGCTGAGAAGTGGAGCGCTTTCCAGCCAAAACAGTATGCTGTTTCTTATCCTTAAAATAAGAAGACAGCCATCTAGTTGCCCAGGACTCTGCTTGTGCTGAAATCGTCTTAGAATTCCATTTCAATTCACGTACACCATAACATTTTACCAAGTTACTTATTTTTACTGTGGAAAACATCTTATTTCCGATCTGATTATATTTTATTGATAGCACAAACGCTATTTAAGAATATACTTTATCTTACATTGATTTTATTCAGATGTCTAATCAATTATTACTCATGTATATAAATGAAGCGAGAAAGTTGAGTGAGTGAGTGAGTGACTTGATATGATTATGAGCAGTAATCAATTGTCCTCGGAACGTGGTCGCATCAGTAAATTTTACTGTATAGCAATACTGTGTGATCTGTCAAAATAAAATCTTATCCATAATGGAGTTATACTCTATTTTGTTTCTGATTTACTCCTTAAACATGTCGACAGGCTAGTGAATGTTTTAATTGGCTCCTGGATTCACGTAAAGCGAATCATGTTCGAATTGAATTGCGACACCACTCATCATCATCATCATCATCGAACAGAACATAGATAGGATGCAGGTCAAATCTCTACGTCGATTTTGAAAAAGTCTTTGACGGTGAAGTAATGTAAAACATTGGTAACTTGATATCAACCTCATTCAACAGGTATACAATGATACCACATACCAAGTGATTGACAACTGAAAACATAGTGATACCTTTAAAGTGAGAGCAGGAGTAAAAATGAAGGCTTTCCGCTGTCATTGATGGAATTCGTGATTCAGAAGGAACTGGATAGTGCAACAGACAGTGAAGCAAGAAGACAGGGACAAATCAGACCTCCAAGAAGAGGTTGTCGAAAAGAGTATTCTCTGTTCAGTATCCATTCTTTTGAAAATTTACGTTTAATTAATTTCATCTCCTTTATCTACAAAACCTGAATTTGACTAATTAGTTTGAAAGCAACTAGTGAACCTGAAGAATGAACAGTATGCAAGTGTACTGCTGAGTCAAGATGCGATAGATAGGGAGATAAAGAGATAGGTAAACAGATAGGTAGATAGCCAAATGTACACAGAACAAATTAATGAATATGGATGGATATGTACTTTCTTTATTCATCACATGATAATAATTAATCACCATCATCATCATCATCAGACTGTGACATCAAAACTCATGCAAATCACGTAAACATGCAGACTTAATACTTTCAATATGTATATATAGACGTATTCAGTCATAATAATAAATAAATAAAACGTAGTATCATCACCACCTACTAGGATATAATCCAAAGTAAATACGGGTTTGAATCCATCTGACTGTTAAATATATGACATAGTATAATGACAATAATAATAATATTATTATTATTACTTCTATGATATACACATGTACTTTTGAATAACGAATAAGCAAAAGCAATTAGAGTTGTAAACTAATCGATTTAGCTAAAACCACACAATGTTTGTTATACAGTGTTATTTACTGATGACCACGTTTCGAGTACAATTTATAAGTGCTCTCTTAATTTTATCAAGGTTCTATTCATATACGCCTTTTTCAAAATTCGTTTATATAATTCCATTATTCTTTATCCCTTGATTTGATTGCTACCATATATACATATATATATATATATATATATATATACGTCGGTGGCACAGTGGTTAGGACGCCCACCGACCATGCACATGGTCCGGGGTTCGATCCCCGGCCACCAACGCACTCCTTTACCTCACTAAGCCAGAAATAATCCTGGTAAAGAGGAAAGGTTGAGCATGAGGCTACCAACCTCATCTTGTAAAAAAATAAACACTGCTACAGACAATTCAAGCCACTAGCTTGAAGCCCTATGTTCCACTGGGAATGTGAACTATGCCATAGCTCTGGCACTGGTGATGAGTCATTTTTATTGCATCTATTGCAGGTGTAGATTCAATGAACAAGGGTTTAAATAAGGAATGTTTCTCCGTTCATCTGCCTATACTACTTATAGAATTGTGTCTCTGTCCCACTCTATTGTGTGATTGTGTGTTAATGCATACAGTGAGATTTTGTTGTGGTTGTGCTCTCTGAGCTGGATAGTTAATTTGCAAATTAACTTTATGCTAAATATTGCGCTGAAGATGTTGTCCAGAAGGAGGACGAAAGCTCCACAATCAAACCAACCAGCTCAGAGAACAATAATAATTGCAAATTATTGAATTCACTTTCAGATTTTCCCGTCGATTGATTGGACCGAAATCCTCTGTCGGTCTCAGGTTGACATGTCTATCGGCTTCTTGTGCAGATGCTTTGATGATGTCTGGGCATGTAATTAAAAGTTAATTGGTGAATGGTGACTAGCAGTGGAATCCAGGATGCCTCGGTGGGAAGATCATCACTTACTGCGAATGCAGGTACATCCAGTTGACGAATCCCAAATGAGATGAAATGTGCATCCTGGATTCCACAGCTAGTCACCCACTATCCACCAATTAACTTTTAAAACTGTAAATGCCTTAAATTCTTGCTTATTTAATGTTATGGTCAATTCAATACCTAGGTAGAGCCTTGATATGATTACGAACAGTGATACATTGTACTCGGGAACTCGATCATCAGTAAATAACCGACCTTATCAAATAAATTTACTCCATGGTGAAATTATGCTCTAGTATAGTGCCCAAGTGCTATTGTTTTATCAATTCTATTAGGAACCTTATTATCTTCGTAAATTAACAGCTATTCCAGTATGCACTAGTTTCTTTTTTACATGGGTATGAAGTGATAGCAGAACTAGAGGTATTTCCTATGCAAAGGCAACTAGAGATATAGTCTACTCCCAAGACTTCTTGTAGAGTGTTTTCTTTGGGGCATAATGACGAAATACGTAACGCGATAGACTAAGTACTTAGCTCCAGGTCTATTTTTCCTTCACGTTCTCCAGTGGAACATAGGGCTTCAAGCTAGTGGCTTGAATTGTCTGTAGCAGTGTTTATTTTTTTACAAGATGAGGTTGGTAGCCTCATGCTCAACCTTTCCTCTTTACCAGGATTATTTCTGGCTTAGTGAGGTAAAGGAGTGCGTTGGTGGCCGGGGATCGAACCCCGGACCATGTGCATGGTCGGTGGGCGTCCTAACCACTATGCCACCGACGCACTGCTCCAGGTCTATAGCCAGTGAATATGAACTTCTCTTTATCTATAGTGACTATAATATCAGAACTCATAGAAAATGCATCAAAATGTCGACGATGCTGTGTAGTTAAAAGTTTCAGAGTTTTTTTGGTAAGGGTGATTTTATTTTTTACCGGGTGAGGTATCTGGCCTCACAATACCCAAACTTCCCTGTTTATCCGGCTCACTACCGGTTAAGCAAGATATATGCGTGCTTCAGCTTGGAATCGGACCCCAGACCATATGAGTGGTTGGCGAGCATTCTGCCGGTGAATTACCGAACCAACTAGACGACATCAATGAGATTACACTCCAAAACCGAATTAACAGATAATTTAACTTCACTGATTGTTTGCTGAACTTGGTTTCTAAATCTTTCATCCACTGATTTTATAGGACCAGAATGCTAGGTCACCTAGTGTACTGACGCTTCAATAATATCATTTAACTGTTTAGCTATGTAGTCCATAGGGTGATTTTTATTCTACTTGGGACCCATCATTTGAATGTCGTTGTAGCATTATTCCAGTGGGTAATAAATAGTGCCCCATTAATGTGGTTTACGCAGTTCAGTAGCCAAGTGTATAATGCTTTAGGGTTTGAAAATGAGTTCCATTCTCCCTGAGAGTACAATACCGTTAGTCAATTTGGATCCAGGTAAATCCACCTGATGTGTCTCAAACAAGACGAAGTACATTTCCTAAACCCCAGGGCTAGACTCTGTAGATCACTTAAGTGTTTTATGAAAATGCTGACCCAGTTATTGTTATCACTGAAATGTTACGCTATCAACTGCACAACATGAAAAACAGCAGCTTAACTAAATGCTGTAAATTTTAACTACTAGGTAGATATTACTTACCATAGATTCGTCTGATTTTTTAGTCACTTCTTCAAGTTCAATTTCTGTTACTGCTTCATTAACATCCAAACGGGATTTCATAAATTCAAGAACTGTTACTAACTGTTTTAAATCCATCCAGTTGATTGCCTTTGACTAAAATACAAATAGCAAAAATGTAATATAATGAGTTACACTCAATAATTCAACAGTTTAGGCTCCTATCAAACTCTATGAATAAATGATTTTTTGGCCAGTTACGGTATTGATTAATACGTATTCAATTTAAGGAATTGATATTAATTTCCTCACAAAAAAATATGCCTCGGGTGATAATTGTGTATTGTGAAGCAGTACTCTCCGTCCTACACTACATCTATGTGATGTCCTAGTCGTTGAAAATGGAAGAGTTAGCAGTGGTTAAGTCAAAATATAACATCAGTAGTCCACGGAGGTTTCTTGACTGTTGTTGGTGTCAGCCATGTATGTGGGTGGGTGCAGATTGTTTGACTGAGGAAACTGTTGGTGTTATTGTTCAAAATCGTCTTCAGTGTAGCAGACTGATTCACACTTTCCGACCCATTGAATCCTCATTATTCTTCATGTAAATATTCTGCATTCTGTACCCTGGGGTCTACATTTAGTACAGATTTTTGCGTTTCTTTTTTCCTTGCCTTTATGTTTGACTTAAGACGTAGAACAGCCTGAATTGTTGGTAGTTTTGGTGCGAATCTATATGTTAAAAATTCGGTTGAGTTCAGGTGATGATGAGTGCCAGCAAGTACGAAGCGGATATCAGATAGGGTCTTCAACTAAGTAACTTCAGGAAGCAGGAAGCACTGAATTTGGCTTCATGCTTGTTGGAACTTGTCATAGCAAGGCATATCTGCAATCGTAAAGGAACTCATGTAACCCTGTGATACTCAAATCCGTATCAATCACTGCTGCAACCACAGACTTTACCACTGAGCTATTCGGGCATGTATCTGATGTCCTGTAGAATTGTATTGGATACTTTGATTGGACACTAGTTAGTCATGCGTCTAGTCCTTGGGTTGATACAGACAGCATTTTATCAGTCATGTATACGGTGTGGCCATCACACTAGGTGACTCACCATTCCAGTGTCCGCTGAATTCATGTTAGACTATTGGAAGCAACCTACAGGAATCCGTAGACCTCGTATGGGACTGTTATAGATACAGGAGATCAATCATGAGCATGAATATCTCGGTGGTAACGTCTCCAGCCACAGAACTAGGTGTGACACGGGTTCGAATCCCATAGGGGAGATGAGTTCTTTCAAGACTGAAGACACATCTTGCAGACGAGTGCCGACAAGCAAGACACCTATATTCAAAGCTTCTTGATGATCGCCTCCAATCATCTAGCACCAGTTCAGTGTGCACAGTATGAGATTATTACACAGTGTCACTAATTTGCATATCATTATGCCATTATGCATTTAACTGGTATTACACATTCAAGGATAGATTTTACGAAAATTTTCAACTATTTATTGCAGTTATTATTTTATTTCAACTTGGTTACCAATTACCGCTGCACAACGACATGAGCCACACATATATTGCGTGACAGCTGGTAACATTTGCTATCCTAGCGCCAAGGTTGAAGTATGCAGAGCAAGATTCTGTCCCGTGAAACCGACTTTCAGGAAGCCGAGTGCTTACACCAGTGAGTTTAATCTGTGCAACATATGTAACTTATTTATTTGTAAACTGTGTGCATAAATTCTTGCGGCCATATTCCACTTTGAAGTTAGACAGCACAGTTTAAACATTAAATGACAGGTAGTATATATAGAGGAAAATACAAAAGGAAAATATGATTAGAAGTTTCAATAACCGGAACAGAAGTTTGTAAGAACGTCGTATTAGGATATAGGAGAATAGTTCCACATGAAGAACCAGTTCCACACCACACTCATTATGTGGTCTTAAAAATTCGGTCTAAATTGTGCACTGACGTCCCCAGTCAAACAGTAAATACTGCCCCCTCCCCCCGCCACACACACATATACACCTTAGACTGATAATCAGAGATTTTATGGACTGGTATGTGTAAGGCTTCTTTATAGTAAATTTTAGCTAACATTTTATATTCAGTTACACACTAACTTGTCCCAAGTGAATCATGTGTGTGTTCATAGAAATTCACTTACTGATTTAAACATAAGAAATTGCTCCAATGATTCTGGTAGTCAAGGGATATTCTAAGACCCAAAGCACCAAATGTAGTTTGTATTATGGTGTCTAAGGTATTCTGCATCCATAAATCAAGGCAAATTAAATTACATTGAAGATAGTCTTACCACATCTTGATACCAATACTTATTTTATGAAGATTCATCCTTTTCAAAATCGTGGCTTAAAACGAAGTCTTACTTAAGGGATTTAAATTCATATGACTTGAGAAGTTATCAAAATTTATCTTTAAAAAGAGCATTGATATTTAGTAATTAAACTCACCTCTTTTATTTGTTCATTAAGCTTTCGAACACGATCAAGAATCATACTGATACAGCGTACAGCGATAGGAAGACTTACAACCTTAGCAGTAGAATAAGCCAATTCATATAAAGCAATAGCTTGTGCAAGTGTACTCTTAATTGTGGCTTTTGAAACTGTTTGATTTAAACTACTTCCATAAGCAGCAAGAGTAGATAAAAGTGAATTAGCATGTTCAACTGTAGAATGTATCAGTACTTCAGCATGTGTTGATGCTCTTTGTTGTAATCGAATCAATCTTTCTGATGGTGTTGCATTACCTCCTGCAGCAAATTTAGGATCCTGAAGATTAAAAACATAAATTAGGTATTAGGTTTTGATAGGGGATAGAAATTTTCACTTATATAAATCGACTAAGGAGAACTAAATAACTTAAATGAAACATATACGTGCTTGTTGTTAATTAGGGAACAGTGAAAATTATGGACCCCTTAATGGCTGTTTTAATTTATCTTAGTCGACTACTTGTCAGTAGGTATATAGGTCCAATTCTTTACAACAATAAAGTAGTCATCGTAAAAGAATTCTTTCAACTAATATAACATGTAGTGGTGCAGTACAATTGATTTACTGACAGGTAATGTAGTTATCTGTAGCCGCAGGCTGACCACTTAGTCTTTGTTCGTTTAACTTAGACTTAAAGTGTACAACAGGGACAGCAAAGCTACAGATAATATTAGCAATAAAATCAAATAAAGGGGAAATAAGGCAGCTACATGAATAAAATATGGAAAGTGAGTGAGTATCTCGGCATGAATTTCAGAAATGAAGTGTGCTCAGTATGTCATCAATAAATAAATAATGTGTGGCATTCTGTGGTATGTCAGTTAAAACCGTTTTGTTATGGAACTTTAATTTAGTGCAGTGCTTAAATTCTATCCTCATATTAGCATCGTCATTATCATTTATTCAATCCAGTGATTTGAGACTTCCATATTTCAGTTCATTCACGATACAACTTTATTATTAACACTTAAGGACTAATGAAACTACTTTTAACAGTTTCTTAACAGAATTTTTAAATATTCACTAAAGTACACTAAATTATCCTTCTATTGAAATGATTAAAAACATGAAACCTACTTCATCTTTTGGAAGATATAAGTTAGCACATGTCTCAGCTATGTTTATAGCACAGTTGGCAGTAGGTAAAATCAAGCGTTCATTTGATGTAGTCTTAATCTGTTGACAGGCTGCTTCAGCACGATCCAATACATGATGACAGGCGATATCATCTATCTTTTGAACAAGTCCTAGTTGTAAGAAAATGGGTAAGAAAAATGGGTAAAACCGTCAGCACTACACATTCATTTGTTTAGTAGTTTAAATAATGCAATACATATGAAAAGAAGTATTTCACACCTCTAAAATCAACCACTTTCTCCCTCTTAAGATAATGATCTTTCACTAACTCAACAATTATTTTGAAGTCACACATTTTAACATTATTTATACGGATCAAGAAAAGTATAGTACAATATCCAAGTAGCATGAAAGTGAACAGTTCACTTTTGACAAAAGCGACTGGACGTAGCAACGTATCGCCTACTTGTTTTACTACAACTGTCTCAGGGTTTCCTTCCTTCTTGGTCCCTATATAAGAGGTAATTGCCATATCCTATAAATATGAGGATAAAATCCTTAAAATCAGTTCTTTTGCTAACTCATATACTTTGATTACCTGCTTCCTGTTAAGTCTATAAACACAGCATTATTTGAATTGTCGAACAAAACACTGCTAAGTAGCGTTTTGTACTTTAAACACGCTATGAACGTAACAAATGACATTAATCCACTCTAACTTTTATCCGAAACTCACTGGGATTCTGTGAAAGGTGCTATTTTCTACCTACAATGAGTTGGATGAGCCAGTGGCAAGATCACTACGATTGAAATACTATCTTTTATTACTCCATTGCACTTAATATTACTATATATTCCTTCGTGTTTTGAATATAAAGCAAGATTTATTATTTCATTGTTAATTTAGACATCTAATTCGTATATATTGCCTTCCACAGTTAAACACCGTGTGACCAGTCATATTTGATAAAATAAATCCTATTATATTCCTTATCTATTTTGAAACATTTGTTAGCACCTGATATCAAATTAAATCACCAGAAGTGCTTCAGTAAACACCGGAGTTCCAAACTATGTAAACATAATCTTTTGTCTTATCACACTATGACACTTTAATTATTCCATCCAGTAGACATAAATCCATACTGATTGTCATAACACCTATTATCCAGTGAGAGTATAAAGAAGACTGTTATGTTTCGGAAGTAAATTTGAAAGATAGCTACATGTCTAGTCTAAGTCCGATTTACTAGACCTAAAGCTTTTAGTTCAATTTGGGGAGTAAATAAGCGATAATTCTTACGGAATAATTTGATGAGAGACTTTTGCTCACGGTGTACATGGAGACGTGTGAAAATTTGTAATTTTAGCATAAGAAGTAGTAGTAATTGATGGAAATGAATGATGATGTGTAGTAAGAGTTTTATTAAGCAAAACACGGACTGGGAGTTTTTGCGGTTGATGAGAACAATGGCTTTCTGATTCCCATCCATCAACCTCTCAGTAACACCAAATTAATGCTGAACAATGAATCTGTCATGTAGCCTCATGCTGGGTAAATAATCAGTGTACTTTAAAAACTCGTTGGTATCGAACTATTGTGAGGGTTCTGAGCAATAGCACTTGATGCTAAACTAATACTACATATGTGGAAAACACCACGCATTAATGCAAGTAGGTGTTGAATTCATGTGCGTAATTCTAAAATAAAATTGAAAAAATGCTGTCAAATGCTGAAGCAAATGAGAAAAATAGCATGATGCCACTCAGTGTGGAAAATCGTGTCATTTGAAAGTCTGTTCAGCTTTCCATCGCCACAAAAATGAAGGCATTAATTCAGATTTTAGTAGCATCACTCTCTCATTGTTGCTAACTCCAGAGGAACATAATTAAAAAAGACTTATTCAATAATATATTCTGTAGCTAAGAAAATGAAAAGAAACATACCACTTTCAATAATCGGTTTAATTACCGCAACAGCTTTATCTTCCGCTGTTTGAACAATGGCGCCAACAGACTCTTTCTTCTTCACCCAGTTATATACATCTAAAGCTGCTTTGTAGGTATCACCAACTACAGAATAACCACAGAGACGGGTTGCGAAAGTTGTCATTTTCGAAACGTGTGACAAGTGATAATAAAGTGTGTAATTTATAAATCCATCATGACCTTCAAACTAGCTTCCTTCAATATACAATAACACCTTGCTCAATGTCAGAAGTTATGAGATACAATTTCACTTCCAGCAAAAGAGGTGGATCCACTGATTAATACTTCTTGTAGTATTTCTAGTTACGTATGTTCAGCCACAAGCCTTCATGATTAGGGAAATAGAGTGATTCTATTCTTCCAACATCCAATATCGTTTTTACGAGCTAGTATAAACCAATTTGATTTCTTTGTGCTCGCTTCTTGATTGTAAGGTATAGGTTCCTGATCTTCGGTGAACTTCTGCGTAGCTTGTCCCGCCACTCGACTGTCGTAGCTTTGGTTGACTCCAAAGGGAGTAGTGCTGGGATTAATTATATGTGGTTTGTAGTATGAGGTATGTTAAGACTGTTACTACTGTGATTGGAGTTGATCCTTTCGCCAGTTAGTCCTCCGGTATCGTCGACAAGAGAAAAGAGGTAGTAATAATAATAATAGATATAATTAGTGAAGTTATTCAGACTAAGAGACAGAAACGGAAGTAGGAAAGCGTAACAACAGTCAGTTGATTAAGTTTGAAGAATATATATATATATATATATATATATCGGTAATAATAATAATAATAATAATAGTAATAATAATTATAACATTAATAAGTTCTCAGGAGAGTAAGACGGGAGAGAATATAAAGAAGTAAAACGACGAGTTTAATTGTCTACCCCTGAATGGTGTATGCGATTTTAAGAGGATAGGCCATTAGGATGCAGTCCTGTGTCGCTGCGTGGTTGTCCAGCCTTCGCTTAAAGGCGTCCAAAGACGGTGCCGTAGCTACATCGGCCAGTAAGGAATTCCAGGGACGGCAAACCCGCAGTGAAAAGAAGTGGGAGCGCATCCGGGTCCTTGCCCTCTGGTGAGCTATCCTTCTGGGATTTCCACGTGAGAGCCTTTACCTACTCAATGGCAGAACACCTTTGTTTGGATGATTCTGGTCATTTGTTATTTTGTAGGCAGTAATCAAATCCCCCCTAAGCCGACGGTAGCTAAGTGTGAACAGGCCTAATTTCTTCAGCCTTTCATCATACAATTTGTTTCGGAGACTAACCACTTCCTTTGTTGCCTGTCGTTGGACTCTTTCCAAGAGGTTGGCGTCTCTTCTCAGCATTGGGGGTGCAATAATATTATTATTAATATTGAAACAATGGAGAATAACTACAGCGACTGCAATATCTTTCTCTTTTATACCTAAAGGCATCGGTGTTGAAAGAATTTCGTAATTTCAAACTCAGTAATTTCAACTGCATCTCCTTGTCTTGCGGATAGCAGGTAAACTCGTATGCTTATCTTCTATTGAATTCCGAAGCACTGCTATCACACTGAGAAAAATAATTGACCCATAATTCCAGCAAAATCAGACACCTTCGATGTACCTAAAAATAAACTATGAGAATCACGTGTAAAATAGAAATACTAATAAGGCATTTATTTTGACTTTAGCATTATATGAATCACTCAGCATATAGATTAAATGTGGAGCACATTTCACTGTTCACTATCATAACGAACATAATATCTGTCAATGTAGTTGAAGATTGAACGATCAATTCATGGTTGTTTGCTCAAAACCAACTTCCCCAATTTTCGCGGAGGCATCAATACGACAGTCATCGTCTCATCGGTCGCTGTTCAGAAAGGAGATTAAAAACCGTCAGAAGTAATATTGTGATTTATTATTGTAATATTTGTTCATAGACCTTAGTCACACGTGATTTATATGTTGGTGTAACAATAAAGAATCCTCGAGTCAACAATTGGTGTTTTGGTTTTCTCGTCCGTTATTACTAAGCGTTTCTGAGAAACTTCAAGCGACATCGTGAGCCCCAGCGTAGCAAGAGCTGGGCATTAACGGTTTACGAGACGTGGCTGACAATATCCATATTACATATCCGCAAAGATAAAATTTCTTTGAACATTGCTGAAGCTGTCGACCTGCGGGTCTAAATTTTCATTTCATTCGAACCTTTTTCAATGATAGGCCACATAGTGTTTGAACCATAGGTTTAGCTGGGAAAACCAACTTTGTTATGAATCATGAATCTGCGAGAGCGTCAAGCACGATACATTAATCTATAGACAGAAAGTTGTTTACGATTAATAAACATATTTACGTGGAGATATGTAAAGGTGACCCCGTTGGGAACACTTTCACAAGATGGGCTTCACAAAGTTAATTTGACTAAGAGAAAAGCAGCTTGCAGTAACACTACTCTCACTCCGTTACAGACTACATATATTTTTATGAGCTTTGAGAAATACGGAAGTCATTTTCTGACCATAACGGCCCTGCTCACAAGTACAAATAATGTCGAAATGAATAGCTGAAACAAGTGCAGCTTAAATCAGACCTTTCATATTTATTTCCTCATTTTCTCATCATACTCGAATAATATCTGAGTGTAGTAGTCACTTGAAATTGGAAGGAATAAGACAGAAATGGATGCTCATAGCTGAAGTGCTGTTTCCAGGCCATTTCTGATTCTTTGAACTTAAATACACCTTGAAATATTCCGTATCAATGTAGTTGAAGACTGAACGACCAATTCATGGTTGTTTGCTCAAAACCAACTCCATATTTTGGTGGGAGTCATCGATACTGCAGTCATCGTTCCATCGTTCGCCGTTCGTTACAAGACAGAGAAAAACTATCAGAAGTATTACTGTGATTAATTGTTATGACATTTATTTTTAGACTTTGTGTACAATGACCTTATGGTTGGTTCTATATTGATGCAAGAATAAACAGTTCTTGAGTCACCAGTCTGTGTTCTGGTTTTTAGCGTTGGTTATTGGACATAGTTCCTGAAAGACTTCTAAGTACAGCGTGAAGTCCAGTGTAGTAAAACCTGGAAAATTGACAGTTTCTGATAAGCTCCTGGAATTATTTATCTTATTTGTTGTCAATTCGTCCTTCCTCGCATCTGCAAGTCTTCTTTGGACAAGTATTATTTGGAACTATTCTGGATCGTTTCCTCAAGTTCAATAATGTCTGGGTCAAAGAAAGGATAAACCGTTTTGAAAGCAGACAGGAAAGTTAGTAATGATGAGTTGCCTGTTAAATCCAATGATATGTGTGATGCTATGCATGATAAGATTCATGTCCATGTTTCGCCATCTAGGGATAGTAGAAATTTTAAAATTTCTAAATTTGAGCCTCGGTGTTTCGACGGAAACCCAGCTGACTATCCACAGTTTGTTAAGGAGTTTGAAGTCATGTTGAGTGGGTTTGCAATAAATGACGAAATGTAGTTAATGTATTTCATGGGATATTGCATTGGAGTTACTACAAGAGCTATACAGCGTTGTAAGGTTACGCCCTCAAACAAATGATATACTGAGGCGATGTGTATCCTGCATCAAAGGTCTGGAGGAGCTTCAATGATTGTAATGAATTAATTCAACGTTGTTAAAGGAAATGGTAGTCAATTACAAGATGACTACAAGCCACTCTCTGAGGTTTTGGATCAATTGATGTCAATTTAGTTGAACATTGAACGATCAATTCATGGTTGTTTGCTCAAACCCAACTTTCCCATAATTTTCGCGGTGATCAATCTGCCAGTCACCGTCTCATCGGTCGCTGTTCAGAAAAGATCTAGAAAAAAACTGTCAGAAGTAATATCGTGATTTATTGTTGTAATATTTGTTCTTAGACCTTAGTTATTATGCTGGTTATATATTGGTGTTAAAATAAAGAATTCTCGAGTCGCCAATCGATGTTTTGGTTTTTCGTCCGTTAGTGTGCCTGTCTATTTTCGACATAGAACTTTGCACAAATGTGCCACAGTTCAAGTCGCCACTCCGTGTAGCACGCGAAGCAAGAGAAGAAAGTACAAGAAAAGCATAATAGAAACAGTGAGCAGAGATGTGAGACAAAGGAGTAATAAAGAAAAACAAAACAGTTTCATTGAAGATCATAAGTCACAGGGAGTGGATGCATCTGCGCCACTGAGAACGATTTGGAGCCGTGTCACCAGTTGTTTCCAACCATAGATTTTTACCGTCCCGAGGACCCCAGCCTGGAAGTTTACACCTTCCTACATGGCTTAGACCAACTGTTGTGGATTTCATTGACTGGTGCCAAGTTTTTGTTTGACCGCCGCTAGCTTTTTTCCAGCCTGACCCTATATCCGCTAACATTGCTCGTTGAGGGAGGCGATGGCTTGGCATACGTAACACATGTCCTAACGATCTCAGTCTTTGTAGCTTCCTATTTTTAAACTAGGCGTCGATGTAGTCCAGTCCTGTAACATCATCGTCCGTTAGTACTAAGCGTTTGTGAAAGGCTTCAAGGACAGCGAGAGGCCCTGCGTAGCAAGAGCTGGGCATTAATGTTTTTGAGACGTAATTAACACCTGATTCGTTACAAATATTCGTTGGTTTCGATGAATTACATGAACAATCTGAACTCAATTTCCGTCCTAGTATTTATAGCCAAACGCAAACCTTCTCGACTTCAAAGGGAATTTTTGAAGGTAAGATCTCGTTCAGAGGATGAATGTGTTGGACCAAAGTTCGGCGATATTCTAGAACTGGTGAAATACATTGTCAACCAAGCTATGAGCAAGTTTGCAGGTATATTGCATCCCACCCCTGGAATAGATAATCCGGAGAGCGAAACGCATTGATTGATGATGAAGAGGTCTCAGCGAAGTGGATATCGAGAAAACCGTATGGTGTCTAGTAATTCACACAAACTTATTGAATGTGACAGCTTCCATGGGACATCCACAAAAGATAGGTTGCAAGTTGTGAGACAAACCGGTTGTGTTTTGCACGTTTCCAAGAAGTGCACACAAAGGCAAACTGTGAAGGAGTGACCAAGTTTAGTTGTAAGCCAAATGTGAAATCAGATTCATCGAGTTCTGACTGGACAAGTTTTCAAGGTAATACTAGTTAGAGTTAAAG